ACCTCCCGGCCGATTCAGCAGCAGGAGCTCTGCTGCTGGACAGCGAGATCCCGAGGCGATCGTGATCCTGAGGTGAATACAATAAATAAAAGCTTGGAAAAGCATTCTTGAAGCAATAGAGGAAAATAGTGCTTACCTGCTTCCTGGGTAGGCAATGGGCCTGCAAACACCCACGGTGCTCACGTTAACCGTTCATTCCCCATACACGGTTTGACTTCATTTATGATTTTACAGTCCCCTCCCAAATCCCAGTTGTTAAAGTGGGATGAGGTGCATACGATACAGAATACGCAGAATACTCCTCAGAGGGTTTTGCTTCTTACTCCTAAGAATAGTTTTACCAAACTATTCTGCCTATAATATGGGAGATGGTCGCCTCTAAATTAGCACGGGGAAGAATTTCCTTGCTGATGACCAAGTAGGACTTGCTGTGCAGCAAGCAGAGAAGAGTTTGGGGTGTCCCCACCTACTCCCCAGCACAACGTTACCCTACCAACCTGCCCTGGGGCCAGCATTAGGGTTTCTGCCAGCAGAGGTGGGTGGATCCAGCTCCCCCCCCCCCAACCCAGGCATCCCTACCTTGTGACTGGAACGTGTAACCGGGAAAGTCGCAGACAGCTGCAGTGAAGACGACAGTCCACGTGAGAAGCCTCCAAGCTATTGCCATGGTTAGCGATGCTTGTCTCAGTGCAGGGAATATTGTGCCAGCTGAAACGGCGCTGTCCCAACATGTCTCTCCCTCAGCCACCACTTATGTCGAGACAGGAGTCCTCGGTCCCTCCGCAGGCATCCTCGGCCGCTCCGTGCTCTCCCCCAAGCAGCGAGACCAACAGTGTCTTTGCAGCGTGCTGGGCCCGGGCCAGCGCAGCGGGGTCAGCATGGGCTAATTCGAACTGCAGGCTCTCGGTGGCATCGCCCCTGCAGAGGAGAGGGTGGGGATGAGTGAAGGGGAGAGACCGGCAGAGGGGAAACAAGGGATGGAGGAGAAGGATACAAGGGGGAAAACCGCGTGCCGGGTGAGTGAGGAAAGCCCAGCCTTAGGGAAGGGAAGAGGGAGATGGAAAAAAGGAAAAAGGAAGGGGAGGAAAGGATGGGAAGCGAACACAAAGGCAATCAACCGCGCCAGTTCACATCGCATCGGAAAGCGGCGTTATCCTGCTACGGGCACACTGCTCGCCCGGGCGCTCTCCCGAGGGTGAACTCTGCTCCCAGCATAGCCCCTGCACCGCTCTGACAGCGGCACTGAAGGCCTGGGAAATACCTTGAACCGGAGGAAAGGAGCTCAGAATAAATGGGAACCCTTTGTCCTGCGGCAATGCCCACGGGGAAGTGCAGGCTGAGCAGCGACCCAGTCTCCCGTTACCTGATCTCTTAAAGGAGAGCATGAAATAAAAGCATTCGCGGGTTGGTAGTGAGCAGCAACCTAGAAATCCTCTCTACTCCAGTTTCCCTAGCTTTAAAATACACTTAAATGACCATCACTGCGCTGCATGAAGCACACTTGCTCTCCGAGTGCATTGGCTAAGCCTAAAAAAGTTTAGGTTCGACTGAAAACAAAGGATCCATTCAGTGAACTCACCCTTCCCCTCAGCTCTCTCCACAAACGGATAGCCAGATTCCAATTGTGTTTGTTATTTAAAATGATTTGCTAATTGCTTCAGTGAAAGCTTTTGGGCTTGCAGATAATTTCCACTCAGTCTGAGGCAATTATACAAAACTCGTATTGCGCTGGAGAATTGCATAAAGCCTGTGGTGTTTGTTTCTATCCAGCGTATGGCAACAAATATGGCCCATACCTAACCACCGCCCGGAGAATCCCCAGTACCTGAACAGCGATGCTCGAGAGCAGCCCCGCAGCAAAAAGCAAAAATCCCTGCAAAGACGACAGATAAACATGCGCTGAAGTCCAACGTCAGACGGGCGGCCGATGCAGCAGCGGCTGCAGACGGTGCTGGAGCGTGGCAGGGAACGGCAGGACGGACGCTCCCGAGCTGCTGGGAGGCTCCGCTGCAGACAGGAGGATGGTACTTCCAAAGGTGTCAACAGCCACGGCATGTGCACAGTCCTCATCCCAGTAAGGAAACACTTGGAATAATGTCCTTAGCCCTTGCCTCGCTCTGCTCTTCTGTGTTTTAAATAGCAAAGACCAACTGCAGCACAGGGCAGGAGAGCCCGGTTCCTCCTCGGATCTGCCACGCTCCCCCCTTCACCTCGTGTCCCCAGGGGAACCTGTAATTTATTTCTACTTCTGTTTTCCCATCTTTACTCTGCAGTTAATGTTATTTGTGCTGCGAGGGCTTGGAATAACACCCATCACTAGAAACTACGTAGGTGAGGTATAAGAAGAAACCAGAGGATGATTCCTGTCCAAATAATTAATCTAAATAAGTTCATAGAATCATCAAATGGTTTGGGTTGGAAGGGACCCCTAGAGGTCACCCAGCCCAACCCCCCTGCAGGAGCAGGGACACCTTGAACCACATCAGGTTGCTCACAGCCC